ATCATGAAGAGCCTCTGGGAGAAGGGGCAGTTCCCGATGCTCTCCCCATCGCTTCCCGCCTTAAACACACAGAAGCAGTTCGTTAGGAAACGAGAATTGAATTAAGCTGAAAAACGTCTTTTCCCTGTAGGCTTTAATGCACTATATCCAAGTCTCAATTAGGGTTGTCACGATAATAAAAAGTTAGACTCGATACGTATACTCAGGAAAATACTCGATACCATTTTCGATACCACAAGGATAAAAACAAAGACCCCAAAATTTAACTGAATTTTGACAGGTTAGTGTCTTTGGTTTCAAATTGACCTGTTACTGATGTTATGGTGGCCCACATTAATGACCCTGACCCTAACCCTCCACCCTTCATAATTGTGAGAAATAAATATTTTTTGGTTAAACTTGTTTGGACTTATTGTACAAACCTATTTAACATCCACTATTTTAACATAATATTATGGATAGAGTTTAATTCAGTGTTTGCAAGATTAATTTCACTATTTTTAAATTAATGTCTATATTACCATAAAGCAATTACCATTTTCTTGCCTGGGATCTTCCTATTGGTGACCTAATCAAGATGGCCGACTTGGATGTGGGGGAGTTTGATCTCCATCTTTGGCTTCCTGCAGACTTGATTAATGTTGGCGTGTTTTTATTAGCCGTTAGCCGCAGCTAGCAATTCAAGGCTAACGTCACGTTAATCATCATAAACAACGTAAATAAATAAATCAGAGAGAAATTGAGTATCGTATCCGGATACAACATTTTAGTATCTATACTTTTTTGAGAATCGATACTTTTGACAACCCTAGTCTCAATTACAGCAAATACACAGAGAAACAACAATCCTGTCCTAAATGCTTCAATTCATTTTCCCCTTTTCCGATCTGATGAGCCATTTAATGGAGAACAGGAAGCTCAAAGGATGATTAAGAGTCAGTCGTTCCGCTTCCTCTTGAGACTAAAAACAGAGAAACGGAGGCGGCACGTGCTGTCCAAATAAATCTGAGAATGCTTTTGTAACTCAGATACGGGAGGCCTGGGGAGGAGAGATAAAAGAAGCCAATCTGAGTCAGTGATTCCCCAACAAGAAGACAAGGACGAGTTAAAAGCTGAGGCTCTCTGCCTCTAATCTCTAATGCTAAGCAGGGCTGTCAGAGATGTCTCCCCCCCCCACAGCCGCTCGTCTCTTTGTTCTGGGCTCCGCTTTGTTTTTCTGAGCGTTTAGATTATGCTCGCCGCCATTTGTGGAGGAATCCCGTTCCATCTGGAGTCCCCATCTGGCCAAAAGAATAAGCGTTTGGTTTGATTAACTCGGCTTTGTGAGGTTTCTTAATGAAGTATTCTGACTTTTGCTTGGTTCCCGTCTAATATAAAGGAGACATATGATACCCTATTTCAACAAGTTAAGCTAGTTCCCTGGTGTCCTAATGTAATGTCTGTGACAAGCGTTGGTCAGAATCCCATAAGGATGAAGCCCAATAGCAGTTCAGTCCCCCTGCCTAACCCTAACCCTAACCCTAACCCTAACCT